TATATTTTTCCATCCTCTCACTTTCATTCTTATGTGTCTTTAGGTCTGAAGTGGGTTTCTTGTAGGCAGCATATATACGGGTCTTGTTTTTGTATTCATTCAGCCAGTCTGTGTCTTTTGATTGGAGCATTTAATCCATTTTCATTTAAAGTAGTTATTGACATATATGTTCCTGTTGCCATTTTCATAATTGTTTGGGATTTGTTTTTGTAGATCTCTTACTTCTCTTGTATTTCCTGACTATATACATCCCTTTAACTGTTGTTATAAAGCTTGTTTGCTCATACTGAATTCTCTTAACTGCTTGTCTGTAAAGCTTTTGATTTCTCCATCAATTTTGAATGAGATGCTTCCTGGGTAGTAATCTTGGTTGTAGATTTTTCCCTTTCAGTACTTTAAATATATCCTGCCATTTCCTTCTGGCCTGTAGAGTTTCTGCTGAAAGATCAGCTATTAAGGATTTCCCTTGGATGTTACTTGTTGCTTTTCCTTTGCTCCTTGATATTCTTTCTTTGTGTTTAATCTTTGTTAGTTTGATTAGTATGTGTCTTGGTGTGTTTCTCCTTGGGTTTATCCTGTATGGGACACTTTGTGCCTCTTGGACTTGACTATTTCCTCTTCCATGTTGGGGAAATTTTCAATTATAATCTCTTCGAAAATTTTCTCATACCCTTTCTTTTTCTCTTCTTCTGGGAACCCTATTGCCGGGAGCCAGCTCACGAGATCCCACCCATGACAAGGTCATGAGGAGAAAACCTGACAGGCAAGGCAGATCAGGTTTTCAGCGATTCCGAAAAGCTGTCCCCGGCGCTCACCTTAAAGATGATACCTGTCTTTCTGATGCTTGCTTCAATAGACTACTCCCTAATTTCTGTGACACAGGCAGAAGGCCTTCCCCGATCTCTTCCCAAATAAGAATCAATTTAGAACTTTAATCAATAAGTTTCCCAGGTGGTGGTATTTTATGAGATTATCCAGGGTGAAAGGAGTGTTTTAATTTAAACTCCTTTGCTGGTATTTTAGTTTGTTTGGCAAATGCGTTTATGCCCTTGGTACTAATATGCATGATTGCTTATAGTACCCTATTCATAAAATAGCATAAAGAACCTGATCATATAAAGGCCCTAGTAGACATAGAACCTTTTTTGGGGGTGAAGGAGTCCTATTAGAAAATATAAGAAAAATTATTCTAAAGGTGGTTATTGGGTTGACGTTTGCTTGCTGTGTTTTGCTTGCTGTGTTTTTGCTTTTAATGTGCTAAGGTTGTGCTGTGGAAACCATTGTTAATATAGTTATAGATCTAGAAAAATAAGAGCTTAGCCCTAGTGTGGTAACAATGAAACGGTTGTTAATTATTAGCCAAGAGTGCTAGGCAGGGGCTGCCTCACCAAAGTCGAAGAGTCAGTGTGGGGTAAACTGAGATAAACTCAACTGACAACTTCTGCAGAAGGATTAATTTTTGTGTTAATAAGGATATACTTCTACTCTGTACTGTTGCCCTATGAGACTGCTACCTTTCAGTTAAGGTCACCACAGAAACGGAAAATAGGTTTACATTCACCTGACCTGCATAAAATGTTAATGGGCCCCAAGGCCAGAAGATAATGTGTTAAGATTTATTATAGAATTAGAAAGCAGAAAACATCCTGCTTTTCCTGAAAAACAAACTGAGGTAATACTAATCCTGTGTAAGCATGAGTAAGCATCTTGTACCTTGGAAGCGTTCTGAGTGAGGGTATAAAAACTGTTGTCAAATAGTAAAACACAGACTTGGCCCTATCAAGGCTGGTCTCACGTGTCTTCTTTCACCAATGCCATTCATCCTGAGGGTACCCCCTGGATCCTGTCGAGGCTGGACCCCGGCACCCTATAATTCAAATGCTGGTGTATTTAATATTGTTCCAGAGATCTCTGAGGCTATCCTCAGTTCTTTTCATTCTTCTTACTTTATTCTGCTCTTCAGCAGTTATTCTCACCATTTTATCTTCCAGCTCACTGATCCATTCTTTTGCCTCAGATATTCTGCTATTGATTCCTTCTAGAGTGTTTTTAATTTCAGTAATTGTGGTGTTTGTCTCTGTATTCTTGAATTCTTCTAGGTCTTTGTTAATTGAGTCTTGCATTTTCTGCATTTTATTTTCAAGGTTTTAGATCATCTTTACTATCATTATTCTGAATTCTTTTTCAGGTAGTTTGCCTATTTCCTCTTCATTTATTTGGACTTGTGTGTTTCTAGTTTTTTCCTTCATTTGTGCTGTATTTCTCTGTCTTTTCATTATCTTTTTAAAAACTTATTGTGTTTGAGGTCTCCTTTTTCCAGGCTTCAAGGTTGAATTCTTTTTTTCTCTTGGTTTCTGCCCTCAGAAGTTTGGTCCAGTGGTTTGTGTAAGCTTCATGTAGGCTGTAATCTGTGCTTGGGTTCTGGTGGGAGGAGGTGAGTGTTTCTTTTCCTCTGATGGGCAGGGCTGAGTAAATTGGTAATTCTGTCTACTGATGATTTGGTTTGTATTTTTAGCTTGTTTGTTGTTTGGATGAGGCATCCTGCAAAGGATGCTACTGGTAGTTGGGTGATGCTGGATCTTGTATACAAGTGGTTGCCTTTGTGGGAGTTCTCGCTATTTGATACTCCCTAGGGTTAGGAGTTTTCTGGTAGTCTAGGGTCTTGGAGTCAGTGCTCCCATTCCAAAGGCTCAGGGCTTGATATCTGATCAGGAATAGAGATTCCACAGGAGGTTTGTTATGGCATTAAATGGAATTAAGACAAATACTCAAAAATGAGAAACTAAAGATGACCCCACACAAATGGCAATTACAAAATCAGGTAAATAATAATTAAAATAATGGAATATACATGCATATGTACAACCATAAGCAAAATCAAAACAGTCCAAGGACAATAAAGTGCAGTAGATTGACCCAGTGAACAAAGGAAACCAAAAATGATATTCACCAATTAAGAATAAAACTAACTAAATCACAAACTGGGAAGCAAAACTAAACAAAGGTATCAACTGGGGAATAAAGCAATGAAAGCGAAACTAACAAATATGGTGAGAAAAAGAAAGAAAAGAAAGGAAGAATAGAAATGCAAAGTTAAATAGAGGTAGGTAAGAAGATTTATATATATTAAAGATTAACTGCAAGGGTAAAATAACAGTAGGAAAAGCAAACAAAGGAATAAATGTAGAAAAATAATGTTTAAATAATTTAAAATTTAAAATTTAAAAAAAGAAATAGAATACAGAACTGCAAAAGGCTAACAGACAGGCAGAAGTTTATAACAGAAATAAAAAGTCTGACTGAAAAAAAATCTCAAAAGCTTAAATAGATTTCATAGTGCTAATAAAATTGACAACTACAATGGTGGGGTGGCGGGGTGGTGAAGAAAAAGAAAAAAAAAATCCGAAAGAAACTACAGACAAATCAAAGTATAAGAATAATAAATGTTTTTCTTGAGTCTCTGCTGTCAGCATCCTTTCCCTTGCTGGGAGTCACAGTCCACCTCACCTCCCTAGAATGCCCTCCAACACTGCTGGCCCTACTCCTTGTTCAGCTGGTGGGAAGGTTTTGGGTCCTCTTCCTCAGCCACACTGCCCCTGAGTTTCAATTGTGGTTTTATCTCCACCTCTGCAGGTGGGTCATCCACTGGGGTTTGCTCCTGAGGCTGCCCTGGAGGACTTGGGTCTGCCCCAGTGAGTGCCAGGTGTGTAGGTGGAGCAGGTTCTTTGGTTGCAGGGCCCCTGGCAGTACCAGGTATTCAATGGAGTTGGCACCTAGGGCAGCAGGAAATATAGTGCTCTAGAAGGGTATGGCAACCCACTCCAGTATTCTTGCCTGGAGAACCGCCCCCCTTACAGAGAAACCTGGGGGGCCACAGTCCACAGGGTCACAAAGAGTTGGAAATGACTGAAGTGACCCCGCATGCAAGGTCTTTCTTGCAAGACTTTCTTTTGCCTGTGGCATCTCTGCCTCAGTGAGGGTTGAGAGTGAAGCCCCTTGGGTCTGGGGGACCCTGGAGGTGCCAAGTGTACAGGGACATCGACTGCCTCGGCCACAGGAGTTATGGCCCTATCAGAGTCTTTTTTCAAGCCTCTAGCAGCTGGCGATCAAAAGGCCTCTTTGACTAATCTTTCTCCATTAGCTCCACTCGTTCAGGCACTTAGAGGGCTCCCTTGCCTGGGGTCCTCCTCTGTTGTTTGGTGCCTCTGGCATTTGAAGCAGCACCCTGGATGGGGTCCTACTCTGTTCTGGGGTCAGGCGCTTGATGAGCCAGCCTCTCTATTGTTCAGCTGCTGACGTGGGGAGAGAGAGAAAGCCTACGGTGATGGCTCCACCCTTTATGCGTGACTTAGTAGTATCGCCTTTCTTCCATGGCTGCCTAGCTTGCCTCCACTGGCATTTCCCACCACAATCTCCTCCCTCACGGCCCCTCAGTCCATCTCTTCACAGTCAACAGTGGGATTGCTCCACAATCCTTATACTCCACCCCCCAGATGCTACACCTTCTTGGGGACCTGCATTCCTGTCTGGCCTATGTAAGCTGTGGCAAGGATTGTCTGATTCTCCTTCCATTTAGGCTGCCACAGATCAACTGCTTCACTCTCAGGCGCAAATGTTTCTCCTCTGCCCCAGACACTTGCCCCCGGTGTGGGGACTGGACCCCTGCTTCAGTTTCCCTACCCGCCAAGGGCAGGTCCAGTCCTACTAACACTCCTGTTTTTCCCCCTAGTTCCTTTGTCCTACCCAGTTTTGCATGGTTCTACATATTCTTTTTTTCCTGTGGTCAGGTACTCCTGCCCCCTCTCAGCTGGTGTGCTGCAAGCACTTCTGTGTCGAAGGTGTATTCCTGATGTATCTGTGGAGAGAGATGTACTCTACATCCACCTACTCTCCCGCCATCTTGGCTTCCCTCTTCAGTGGGGCTTCTTTAGAGTACATTTGCCCAGCTAATGGGATGAAGCCATCAAACTATAAAAGCTGAAATCCATTTTTCCACTTACATTCAGATAATCCCAGCCACTCACATCACACAAGAACATGGCAGGACTTCTTCAGGGCTGCCCCTAGGAGATGACAGCCTGACCTCCCATAGCTGCGATGTAGAAGTCGGCCCTCCTTCTGCCACCCCGTAGGTGGGGCCAGCCTCGTGCTGGGGCCAGGAGCCCTGCCATTCAATCCCGCTGACTTTCATGGGCATCCCTTACCAAGCTGGCTTCCAGCCTGCATCTGGCCTCAGGATGCAGCTACTTTGGGTCTTCCTCACACCAGTAAACCCAGGATCAAGTCTTCTCCAGCTGCCCCTGTCATGTCTGCTCCCGAGGGGCTGGCCATTGCCAGGTGTGACATATACAAACACATTCTGCTGCAGTGGATCTGGTTTCCAGGGGTTATTTTTAGTTGAAATTAGCACCTCTCCCAATTTTCCATGTTTCTGTGTGCTGTGCTCCGTCGCTCAGGCATGTCTGACTCTCTTGCAACCCCATGGACTGTAGCCTGCCGGGCTCCTCTGTCCATGGGAATCTCCTGGCAAGAATTCCTTCCTCCAGTGGATCTTCCTAAACCAGGGAAAGCAGGTTCTTTACCACTAGTGCCACCTGGGAAGCCCAAATCTTTGCTCTTCTATTGTTTTTTTTTTTTTTTTTTACTTTTTGGTTGCATCATGTGGCATGTAGGATCTTAGTTTCTTAACCAGGGATTGAACCCACACTCCCAGCATTGAGTACATGGAGTTTAAACCACTGGACCACCAGGAAACTCCCAATAAGCTTGAAAGTGAAAGTGAAAGTCACTCAGTCGTGTCCAACTCTTTGCAATCACATGGACTATACAGTTCATGGAATTCTCCAGGCCAGAATACTGGAGTAGGTATTCTTCCCCTCCTTCAGGGGATCTTCCCAACCCAGGAATCGAATCCAGTTCTCCGGCATGGCAGGCAGATTCTTTACCAGCTGAGCTACAAGGGAAACCCAAAGCCCAATAAGGTTGGCTCTTATTAATATTACACTCTCTGAAGAGAAATCCAATTTAACCTTTGCCTTTCATAGACTCTTGGTTTCCTTTCTTCATAACTATTAAAAAAACAAAGCAAAACCCTGGTCCAATGTGGATGTTCAAAGTGTATAAACTGCAGAGAATCGGTTAGTTAAAATATCACGGGAAAAATGAACATGTTCCATCCCACCATGTTACCTCCTGAAAGATGTCCAGCTCTCAAAGTATCATCACCATTGTTCTTTAGCTTGTCTTTAAATAAAAATCTTCTTTTCCAGACTGACTGTAAAGAACTTGGTGTTAGAAAAATTAGCAAGTTTAATGCTCGTGCAGAGTCAGAGACAGTTGTCCCACAGGTATATTTTGGGTTTGTTTTAGCCAAGTCAGCTCCAATGTTTGGTGAGATCAGATTTTCAGCTGTTCTTCCGTAACACGGAGACACAGCACTATAGTGTTCATTTCATAGAAAATAAACCCTAGATCTCAGTGTTCCCAAGGGCTCTCATCATAGACCAAAGAAAAGAAGAGACCAGAAAGGCGTTATTATTATAACATTATTAGTTCTGATCGTGGGCTAAGTACAGAGATCTGGGTTTAAATGACTGCATCCAGGATGTGGGATAAAGAGGAATGGAACTGTGGAATATTTGGGATGAAATGTAAGCATTTGGGGAATGTATATCAGTAGACATGGACTCCATCCTCTCACTGCCTGTCTGGGCTCAACACTGCAGTGCTGTTGAGCACATATGAGGGGATGCAGCCCAGCTTTCCAGGGAGAGCAAGATGGCAAATTAACCTCCATGCTCCTATCATACAGCAGTGCTAAGATGATACATACACTAACAATATAAATGCCAACAGTCGACACATGAATGAAGACATTTCATGTTCTCAAACTTTGGTTATAATCACACTGTTGGAGTCCAGGGTTAAATTCTGAAATGTGTACGGTAGCACAGTCTGCATGGATACTTGTGTCTGCTAGGTAGTCATTTGTTGCTGGAACTAGAGAGAAGCTCTATTTTATGATCTCAGGCATGTTGAATGTTTATTCTACTAGCAGTTAAAAAAGAATTTCTTTCTTCATAGTTTAGTTTTTACTCTGAGTTTAATAGGGAAAAAATAGAATGAAGATGATAAATAAGATGCAAGAGAAGGAACAATAGTGCAGATTATTAATAGTTCCTTATAAATGTTAAGAATATCAGACATATATTTTTCAAAAATGCACTTGAGGGGGAATTCCCTGGTAGTCTAGTGGTTAGGACTCGATGCTTTCAATGCCAAAGACCTGGATTCTATCCTTGGTTTAGGAACTAAGAATCCATGAGCCATGTGGTGCAGCTGATAAATGCATTTGGGAAACTGAATAGTCAAGGTTCATATAAACTATTGGAATGATCAGCTAATAGGTTGCATGTTGTTTAGTTGCTAAGTCATGTCTGACTCTGCAAGCCCATGAACTGCAGCACATCAGGTTTCTCTGTCCTCCACCATCTCCAAAAGTTTGCTCAATTTCATATCCATTGAGTCGATGATGCCATCAAACTATCTCATCCTCTGCCACCCCCTTCTCCTTTTGCCTTCAATCTTTCCCTGCATCAGGGTCCTTTCCACTGAGTCAGCTCTTCACATCAGGAGGCCAAAGTATTGGACTTTCAGCTTCAGCATCAGTCCTTCCAGTGAATATCCAGGGTCAATTTCCTTTACAACTGACTTTTTTGATTTCCTTGTTGTCCAAGGGACTCTCAAGAGTCTTCTCCAGCACCACAATCTGAAAGTATCAATTTTTCAGCACTCAGCCTTCTTTATGGTTTTATAATTGTGCAAAACATTTTTAAAAATCACAAGAAAAATTGTGTCAGTCCTTAAATCAAACACTTATTCCTTTGACAAAATAGGCATGAACTAGCCCAAATCACACCCTTCAGATAGCGGGGAATTCTACTTCTGCAAGAAAAAGCTCAGAGTAAAGGAATTGTAGCGTTCGATGTCCTTGCATGGAAAGGTGTAAGTCAAATTGTATCCACCTGAAAGGGACCAACTCTATTTTGGAATGGTTTTTAAAAGCCAAAGGAAAATCAACTCTGCCATCTGGTGCATAAACAGGTTATTGCAGCTTCTTTCTTAAAATAATAATAATAATAATAATAATAATAATAATAATAACAGCTAACCCAGTTCTCCCCTTACAAAGAATTTTCATGACACTGTGATGTTCCAGCTGAGTGGTTTTCCCTGGGTAACTGAAGCCTGTTATAGATTTTTAAAAACTTGCTGATGGGAGTGTTTCTAAGACAAGAACTCACTCACTGCCCATGGTGAACCCAAAGGCCCCTTTCTTCTGAGACTCAGATACTCATATGAACATCAGTTACTGCCTGGTTCCTCTAGCTCAGGGTTTCCCATGTGGCTCAGTGGTAAAGAACCTGCCTGCCAATGCAGGAGATGTGGGTTCGATTCCTGGGTCAGGAAGATCCTCTGGAGGAGAAAATGGCAACTCACTCCATTATCTTGCCTGGGAAATCCCATGAACAGAGGAGCCTGGTAGACCACAATTCATGAGGCTGCTGAAGAGTTGGATTGACTTAGCGACTAAACAACAGTGACAGCCCCAGACTTGGCGAGATTTGGCCCTGCCCTGAGGGAAGTCCTGGACTACACTTTTCTGGAAGGCAGCACAGTTGGGAGCTGGCCAGGCCACTGGGGCTGGGAAACCACAGACACCTGAAGCCATGAGGCAGGGATGGATCTGGTAGGAAACAGGTGATCTCCAGATGGCGAGGCAAATCTGAAAGATGGGATGGAAAGTCAGCAGGTCAGCTCAGCAGGGAACACTTGGGACAGGAGAAAATGAGACCCCAAAAGGATGACGATGGAGGAAAGGGATGAAGGGAGACAGAAGAGCTCTTAGTGGGATTGTTGAGTCCTAAGGTAAATTTATTCATAGTTTTTTTTTTAAGGAAGCTCTGTACTGTTCTCCATAGGCCCTATATCAATTTGCATTCCCACTAACAGTGCAAGGGGGTTCCCTTCATACCCTCTCCAGCATTTATTGTTTATAGATTTTTTGATGATGGCCATTCTGACACATGTGAGTTGATACCTCATTGTAGTTTTGATTTGCATTTCTCTAATAATGAGTGATGCTGAGCATCTTTTCATGTGTTTATATTCATGAGGGAGGGACATATATATACCTATGACTGATTCATGTTGATATATGGGAGAAACAAACACAATATTGTACAGCAATTGTCCTCCAAATAAAAATAAGCAATTTAATAAAGAAGAGCTCTTAGACAGAGTCCTGTAGCCCTGTCCAGCCCTGGCCCCCGCTTTCCTCCACTGAGCTCACCCCAAGCCCCACACTGGCTTCATCCTCACTGCTAACGACGAGGGAGCAGCCTGAGGAGGGCAAGAGGTTGGTGCTAAGTGTTCAACTGAGTCCTTCCAAATTCACAGCTTAAAGACCTAAACACCACTTCCCAGAATGTGACTCTGGGTGGCTGCAGATAGAATCAGTTAAGATGAAGTCATATTGGAGGAAGGTGGGTGCTTAATTCAGTACGACTGGTTTCCTTATAAAAAGGAGAACTTTGGACATAAACAAGAACACAGGGAGAAAGACCAGGTAAGCCTGAAGGCAGAGATTAGGGGGAACACATTACAAGGCAAAGGCTTCCCTGGTGGTCCAGATGGTAAAGAATCCATCTGCAGAGCAGGAGACCTGGGTTCAATCCCTGAGTTGGGAAGATCCCCTGGAGGAGGGCATGACAACTTCACTCTAGTATTCTTGCCTGGAGAATCCCCATGGACAGATGAGCCTGGTGGGCTTCGGTCCACGGGGTCGCAAAGAGCTGCACACAGCTGAGCGACTAAGCACACATTACAAGGCAAGTCAGTTTCCAGCAGGCTAGGAGACACCAGTGAGGGGTGGGAGGCCTGGGACAGAGTCTCGGTAAGATCCCACAGGAGGGACCGAGTCTGTGACCCCGTGACCTCTGACATCTGGCCTCCAGAACCGGGGACAACACACTGGTGC